CTTAAAAGGGCACAACCACACTATTACTATACCTAAAAACTTTGACAATATTTCCTTAATAGCATCAACTAACAAATCGGTGTTGAAATAGCTCTAGCTATCTCACAATTTTTTACATTGGTTCATTCAAATCAGAATCCAAATATAATCCAAATATTGCATTTAGTTGTTATATCTCTTAAATCTCTTTCAATTCATAACTGTCTTTCCCTCTTTTTTCTTATAATTTGTTAAAGTCTTTTTTTTTCTTCTTCTTTTTGAGTTGGAGTCTCACTCTGTCGCCCAGACTGGAGTGCAGGGGCCGCTCCCGGCCACCGCAGCCTCGACCTGCTGGGCTCCGGCGATCCTTCCACTTCAGCCTTCCAAGTAGCTGGAACTACAGGCGTGCGCTAGTTTTTGATTTATTGTAGAGATGAGGTCTCGCCAAATTGCCCAGGTGGGTCTCGCCAAGTTGGCCAGGTGGATCTCGAACCCGCGGGCTCAGGCAATCCACTCACCTCAGCCTCCCAAAGGCGCAGGATTACAGGCTGAGCCACTGAGCCCGGCAATTGTTAAAGTCTTTTACATTTTCTCAATTTTTAATGTTACTGATTGCATCCCCATAAACTGTTGTATAATATATTTCTTTGCTGAATCGCCTGTAACCTGATAGGTATGTCTAGAGATTTGATCAGACTCCATTTTATTTTTTGGCAAGAAAAGCTCATGAGAATGCTGTGTGTGTCCATCAGTTGGCAAATGTCTGCTTGTTTCTCTCTGATGCTAACTTATTCAGTGTGTTCAGTTGTTGCCAGCCTGATCCATCCATTATAACGTTTCCTATTGACTATTAATGAGAAGTTTTTAGCCGATGATTGATAATCATTAAGCAGGATCCATTATTTCAGCAGGTATTATAAAATGGTATATACTAATACTAACATTTTTTCTTATTTATTAGGTTTCATTTAAAATATTTATTTTGATGAATTAAATAAAAGTTAATTATTGAGCACCCATGATGTACCAGTATTCTGCTAGACAGTCTAAGGGAAAAGCAAATGCATGGACCATGCTCTAAGTGGAAACAGATAATATGTTTGAGATATTTAGAGAACTGTTATGGTATGGTAGGTGAAATAAGAGAAGGGAGATGAGCATGAGCTATAAAATGTTTCATGGAAGATGGAGGCCATGAGCATGTTATGAAGTAGGGGGAATCTGAGGGGATTTCAGGTGGGGGACTAGTTTAAATTGTTCCATGAAAGTAAGAATAGGAATCGCCACATAAGGGAGAACACATACTAGCTAGGGAGAACAAAGAACACATAAGGGAGAGCAAAGCTACCTTGAGGTCACATACCAGCTAGGTTAAAGTGGGGTGTTGGTAGGTAATGAGAAAACTACATTATTTATATTATATATTGATTAATTGACATCAACACTGTGAACTTTTTGATCTTGTTCTAAATACATTTGGCAAAAAGACTTTGAGTGAACACAAGCACAATGGTTTGAAAATTGATTTTTCATAAATAAGAGCTCATATGAGCTTAAGAAATGTATGATCTTCCAAGTCAGATGTAAAATGTAAAGAAACAGTCATGCTGTTAGTGTACATAGTAATTAAAAAAAAAATCCAAACGGTAGGATGACTTGTGACTCCACAAACCAAACCAGGGTGTTTGAAAAGGAGAGGCAGTTGCACTGAAGCTGTGTCAAAAATAAATATGTTGAGTTATTTTGGAAATGTCACATTTTAAATGTGCATACAAATAGCTAGGTCTTTAAGAATTTATTGATATAGGATTGGATTGCAAACAAAATGATAGCTGATAATGTAAATTTTGTAGTCAGACACACAGAAGTGATTAACTCCTAGAAGAGTATGAGCACAACAAATAAACTCATAGAGTGAGAGACTGGAGGTGAAATAGAGAATAATGTAGAACTGGGCGTACAAGGGAGGCATGGAAGCAGGAATAAAGAAGAGAGCTGTATCTGCTGGTGGAGCAGCCGGGGAGAGCAGTGTCATGGCCTGGGAAGGAAGAGGTATTCAACAGGGCAGCTACCATCATGAGGTCAAAGAATAGAGACTAGACAATATCCTTAGGGTATTTGGAGGGAGATCACTGGCAACACTTGACAGGAACTTCATTTTAACTGTGGCAAGTTACAGATGGAAGATAAATTATAGAAAGGAAAGGTTGGAAACAGGTTAGGGCAGAAGGCACACATAAACTATTCTAGGAATGGAGTTCCAAAGAAGATGGTGAATATGGTGGCCCTGATAAGCAGCTCATGGAGTAAATTGAACTGTGTTTGCAAGCCAGAAGTAGGAATGTCCTCAGTTATTTTGATAAACAGAGCAAAATATGTTTTTAGAAAAGAAAATTTTTTGCAAACAGAGCTTAAATAGAGTCACTTTCATTAATTTTATTTGTAGGACATTATTTTATTTACTTAATTTTCATTTTAAATCTTACCAGTAATGAATGATGCTTACATCAAATGTGTAAGAAATGAGGTATTTAATTGGGGATATTACCTCTTTTTCCTTTTATAAAAAGAATTTGGCAAACTTTGTATCTCTATTACTTCCTCAGCCAGATATGTATATGAATCAGGTATTTGTTTTTATTTTGTTAGTTTCATCGGTTTCCTGCTTACAAGGATAATGCATATTTATTGAAAAAATGTCATTTCGCACAGAAAGATTTAAAGGATACATTTTTTAAATCTTGTGAAATAATACTATTCAGAGATAATCAATGTCATTATTTTGGTAAACTCCCTTCCAAATCTCTTTGTATGCATACATACATAGTTGATATTTTATATTAATGATATCATACTATAAATGTGGTTTTGCATTTGCTTTTTTGCATCCAATAATATGCTGTGGGTATTTCTATGTCAGTGAATATGGAGATATAGTATTCTTTTTCAATGGCAGTCATTGTATGAAGGTACCATAATTGATTTAAGCCATCTTCTACTGCCAGACTTGTAGACTTTTTCCATTTTTCCTGTTTTAAGCAGCACTGAAATGAATGTTCCTGTGGGTACAATTTTGTGCACTAGTTGATTGACTTCTTTGGATAATTTTCAGGTAGTAGGGTTGTGAGTCAAAGGCTATACACATTTTATATTGTGATTCATATTTACATATTGCCCAATACTCAACAGAAAAGGTGTCCCAGCCAGGCTTGGTGGCTCAGCCTGTAATCCCGTGCCTTTGGGAGGCTTGGGTGAGTGGATTGCCTGAGCCCGCGGGTTTGAGACCCACCTGGGCAGGTGAGACCTCATCTCTACAATAAAATCAAAAAATTAGCCGGGAGTGGTAGCACATGCCTGTAATTCCGGCTACTCGGAAGGCTGAGGCGAAAGGATCACCGGAGCCCAGCAGGTCGAGGCTGCGGTGGCCGGGAGCGGCCACTGCACTCCAGTCTGGGTGACAGAGTGAGACTCCAACTACAAAAAAAAAAAAAAAAGAAAAGATGTCCCAAGTATGCTTCTGCCAATAACACATATCTATACCCAGAAAGTTATCTTAAATGTCTTAAAATGCTTTTTCATCTTAAACTGCTAGGGGAGGGAAGGGCATACCTCATCAACAAGGGTACCTGCATAATCAATGTTTGTATACCTAACTCTGAATTGTACCCCACATCTTTAAAATAAAAATAAATAAATAAATAAAAATGCTTTTTCATCTTAATTCAGAAAAATTTTTCATGTTGTCAAATAAGAACTGAAGTATCCCAGTGGTTTTAAACTTTTTTTAATCAATATTTTTCATTATGATGTTGTGGGGTACAGTTAAGGGTTAGGTGTACAATTACGTTTCATTCAGGCACCCTGTTGATAAGAGGTGTTTCCCCATCCCCAGACAGATATTTGCTACTGTTAATCCCATCTCCCCCACCCATAGTTTCCCAGTACTGTCAGTCATTTTCTTATAGTATTACATTGGATGTTCAAGGTCCATTATATGAGTGAGAACATGTGATACTCGGATCTTTGTCTCTGTGAGAGGTCACTCAGTATTATAGACTCTAGTTCCATCCAGGTTGCTGTGAAATTTATGATTTTGTTCTTTTTTATGGCTACGTAGTATTCCATCGTGTATATGTACCACATTTTTAAAATCCAGTCCTCTTTTGATGGGCAGCATGGTTGTTTCCAGGTTTTTGCTATTGTGAACAATGCTGCGATAAACATACGTGTGCAGGTATCTTTTTTATAGAGTGATTTGAGTTCTTCAAGATATATTCCCAGTAGGGGGATTGCAGGGTCATATGGGAGGTTGATATTTAGAACTTTTAGGAATCGCCACACTGCTTTCCACAGAGGTTGCACTAGTTTACACTCCCACCAACAGTGTAGAAGTGTTCCCTTTTCACCACACCCTCTCCAGCAGTTGTTATTTTTTGAGCTGTTGATAATTGCCATTCTGACTGGAGTTAGGTGGTATCTCAATGTGGTTTTGATTTGCTTCTCCCTGACGATTAGTGAGGTTGAACATTTCTTCATGTGTCTGTTGGCTGCCCGGATGTCTTCCTTTGTGAAGTGTCTGTTCATATCTTTTGCCCATTTTATAATGGGGTTGTTTGATCTACAAGGTTTTAAACTTTTTAGTGCCTTAGGACCATTTGAGAATTTTTTACAGTTGTTTAACCTATTTTCCAGAAAAATACTTGTGCAAAAACACCAAAATGTTTGCTTATGTATGGGAATTCACAGATTCTTTGAAGACAAATCACAGACTCTTTAGGACCTTACTCCATAAATCCAGGTGAAGAATCTCTGAATGAAGTGATTTTAAAGTTGCTTTTTTTTTTTTTTAACACTTATACACACACACATCTTGCACACACATATCACACATTCATGTGCACATAGAATTTAATTTGGACAAAATCTGACATCTGCTTGGTACAGAACTTAATCTCAGGATGACCAGTGAAATCACTTGAGTATGCGTAGGTATTGGAATGAAGTTTTTCTATTTATTTCAGGTTCTTCAGTGGCGAGCCCAACAGGAAGAGGTGGCAAGACTGGAAATGGAAATTTCTGCCAGAAGAAGAGAAAAGCAAAAGGAGAAAGAGAAAATGTGGAAAAAGAAGGAATTGTTGCAAAGAGAGGAGAAGAAAAAACAAGTATAAGATCTGTTGTCAGTGTGAATGAATGTTTAATGGCCTGATTGAGTTTTAATTGGTCTTGAAGTTTGGTAGGGAATTCTCATAGGCAGTTCTTAGAATATTCATAAGGCTCTAGTGGAATCTTGCTTCAGTTTATTTGCGCATCAAAGATTTGTTTTTGTGGAGGAGTATCTGCTTTGTTTATCTGCACAGGTACCTGTGATTAGAAGGGATACTGTAAGTTAAAAAAAACAAACAAACAAAATTTGTGACTATTTTTAAGCCCTTTACAACTGTAAAAACCTGGAGGATACTAGGATAGCGTATTGGCTGATGGCCATTGTGGCAAATGATTGCCAAAAATGTCCTTGTTGGCAGAATATGTTGTACTAGAGATAGTGCAATTTATGGAAGATGAAAATGCCCTTTAAAGAGTTTCTTAATTATTTGTTAGATGGTTTTATTTTTCTTTTACTTATATAAATTAATTATTCCTATTTTGAGTAAACATTTGTTTCACAATCTTAAAAATATTCACCAAAACAAACGATTGCTTATAATCTATACAAGATAGAATACAATTAAGGACTGTTTTAAAAATATGTGGTAGGTATTTATTTAGGCATTTTTGTTTGTTCCTACCACAAAAATTGTAGAATTTTCAACACAAGTATTTTTGTTAAAATTTTTATCAGATTTATTACCAACTTTTTAAATGGAATTGCTGACTTCTGTAGAAATAATTCGCCCAAAGGCAATTAATTTGTGATCAACATAATGAAAGAATGTTGACCTATATACCTGTTTTGACTTGACCTTAAATGGTTTAAAGAATGGCTTTCTTTTGAAAACCTGCTTACAGTGCTAAGAATGACTGATTAACTTATGGTCGTTGGTGGGCAAAGTTTTCTTTTTTTGTGAACATGGTTGACATTTTGGACTATGTGACTAACGTGGTCAAAGAAGCTCTTGCCTAGAAGTTTTTCCTTCTAAGTTGATAGATATGTGGAGATAAAGGAGTTTTGCATTTTTAAGCTATAAGTCAGTGTTTAAAAGGTTTTGTTATTCTTAGTTGTCATTGTTAGTGACTTGTTTTATGACTTTAAATCAGCAAATTAGTGTAGAGGCAGCATGTGTGGGAAACAACATACATAAAAGTTATATGATCATTTGACAAATTTGGCTGCTAAGAAGAGATGATTCATAGTGCTTAGATTTTTAATTCAAGAATGAATTTAATTTCTACTTCTAAGAAAGTAAATTGGGTGTTTTCATCAAGTCCCTGTCAAGAGAGTTGATGGTTAAAGGGAATAATTGCATGTACCTCCGAAACTTATATATATTGATTGTGTTTCACATAGTGTAAGTGAACTACACATTTCTGTGGGAGAACTTACCAATTGTTTGATGTTATGAAAAAAACAGTATTTGAAAAAGCATATTCTTATAGTTTTGTCATCTACCTGGGCCTTCATAGCATTTCCTCACTATGAATTAGTATGACTACAAAAAGTATTCTATTTTGAGGCAGTTGTTGATACATAGTGTCCACTTAAATGCCATATAAGGAAATTTCCTTACTGTTCCATTCACTGGGGATTTACAAAGACAGGTGAAAATACACAAATTAAATAACTCGTTGTACTGATAATAAGTGCATTTAATTGTAGAAATTAAATTTGAATTGGAGAATTGGCATAGTACACAGGAGAGGATGAAGGGACATTTATAGCTGTCATCTGCAGTCTGTAAGTTTCTGGAAGTGAGAGAAAGGCATTTTGAAAGACAGAGAGAGCTTTCTGAACTTACACATGGGGTTGACATTGACATTTGACCTCATAAACAACAAAACAAACAAAAACCAAGCAATAATGGAAGGAATGATTAAGCAATTATAATGGCTAAGATGGTCAAAGGGTTAACCTAAGTGCAGCTTAAAACAAGAAAGCACTTACACCTGAAAGGTTGAAGACTGAGAAGCTCAATATCATTAGTCAAGTGTGTAAATTGAAACTAAATATCCTCTCCACATTTTAGAATGCAAGATTGGATCTATACCTATGAACATTAACAAAGTACATGTTGAAAAGGCCTCCATACCTAGAATGTATTTTTTAATGTTTGGTTGCATTTCACTTAGATGCACACAAGGTGTTATTTCACTGTTCCATACTTCATAATGAGGGACATTATAAGAAAAGTCCTGGCTGGGAGCAGGGCTCAAGTCTGTAATCCCAGCACTTTGGGAGTCCAAGGCAGGAGGATTGCTTGAGCCAGGAGTTCAAGACCGGCCTGGATAACATAGCAAGACCTCGTCTCCACAAAAAATCAAAAAATTTGCTGGGTGTGGTGGCACGCACCTGTAGTTCTGGCTACTAGGGAGGCTGAGGCTGGAGGATCATCTGAGCCAAGGAAGTCAAAGCTTCGATGAGCTATGATAATGCCACTGTACTCCAGCCTGGGGGACAGAGTGAGACTTCAAGAAAAAAAAAAAAGTATGGTGACTTATTTATATGGTGTATAGAGGATATTAAAAATACTTTTTCTTTTAAAAATATTTTTAAAGTAGAGATTGATATAATAAACACATTAATACCTGCCATCTAGTATTAGAAATGTTAACATTTTTCATTTTTTATTTTAAAATTTTAAATAAAAGAGAATATTACAAATAAAGTTGAAATCCTCTTTTGAGGCCTTAGTACCATTTTTCTTCTTACCTCTTCAGAGGTAATCACCATCATGATTGTATTTCTATCTCTCCAGGTCATATGTAGATTTTAAGGCATTTTAACACATATTTGTGATTTTGATGTTTTTCATGAGCACTATCATACCATATCATTCTGGAATGTTTAAAAGTTATACCTATGTTAATACACATAGACATAGTTCATAACTTTTAATTGCCCTTTAGTGTTCTACAGTAGAAATAGGCTAGCATTTATCCATTCTTCTCGGTGGTTGACATTTACATGTCCCAAGTTTTGTCCTTACAAGTTGTGCTGCAGCAGTCACCTTGCATGTATCTACTGGTGCATATGTTCAGGTTCTTCCCTAGGGTACACCTAAAAGAATTACTATGTCATAAGTCTTGCACACTTTCAACTTTTTCAGCTATATAATACATTACAACTTTATGACTTAAGTCAATCTGATAAATGTGAACAGTACCTCATTAATTTAAAAAAATGTTATTTTTATTTATAAGTACATAATAGGTGTATATATTTATGGTGAACATGTGATATTTTAATACAGGCATATAATGTATAATGATTAAATTAAGGTAATTGGGGTATCTATCACCTTAGGCATTTATTATTTTTTGTGTGTGTGTTAGGAACATACCAATTTCACTCTTTTAGTTATTTTAAAATATACAATAAATCATTGCTAACTATAGTCACCCTATAGTGCTACCAAGTACTAGATCTTATGCAATTCAACTATCTGTATTTTTGTACTCATCAACCATCCTTGCTTTATTCCCATTAATGTTTTAATTTTTATTTGCATGATTACTTGTGAGATTTAAATCTTCTCATGTTTACTGAACAATTTTTTCTCTGCAAACTACTTATTCATATTTTATTTCTCTATTTAAAAAAATTCTCTGTAGAACTTCTTTATAAATTCTTGATACTTTTTCTTTTGATTAATTATATGGATTACAAATATTTTCTTCCATTAGTTATTGCCTTTTAATTTTGGCTGTAGTTTCACAGAAATTTTAAATTATCAAGTAATCAGGGTTATTCAACTTTTTCCTTATGAACTGTGCTTTCCCTTGTGAACTGTAACCTGATAGTGAGAACATCTCTACAGACAGCTTTTATGCTTGCCTATGTTAAGGGCCATATGAATTTTACTGGTCAGAGACCAGTTTGTGTATTAATTTCTAGACTTGGAACACTATGCTGTGAACCTAGTGAATGTGACTTAGTGCTTGCACATAGCACTGGCCTGGGGTTTTGCACTTCATTTCTTTCCTCCTCTGGTCCCAAGCAGAAAGTAAGCCCCCTTGTCACTTTTTGGGAGAGTGATCAGGGTGTATCTTGTACTTATTTTGTGTCTGGACAAGTGCATACGACTTCTTGCTCTTTGTAAGGAACCTGAGTCCAGTTCCTGTGTGCACAGGTCCCACAACAAATATTAAAGGTCCAGCCACCAACTATTCAGACCTATGTTAGGTTCAAGTTTTCCCCAAGGGTCCTTTGGCTTCAGCTCTCTCTTACGGCTCTGACTTTTGGGTTCCATGTTTACTTGTGGCACTGGGGCATTCTGTGTGTGTGTGTATAATTGTTGAGTTATAGTTTGTCCAGCGTTTCTGTGTGTTTGATGTAGAAAGGGAGATTTCCATATCAACTCAGACATATCCTCAAAAAGTTCTAGCTACCTTTACATATACTAACAACAAACCTAGATAATCTTTGTTTTAACTTTAAAAAATTAATTTAATTTAATTTAATTTTTAGTTGGAGTCTCACTCTGTTGCCCAGGTTGGAGTGCAGTGGTATGCTCATGGCCACCACAGCCTTAACCTGCTGGGTGCAAGTGATCCTTCCGCCTTAGCCTTACAAATATCTGGAACCACAGGCATGTGGCACCATACCTGGCTAATTTTTTGATTTATTGTAGAGATGAGGTCTTGCCAAGTTGCCCAGAATGGTCCCAAATCTCTGGATTCAGGCAATCCTCTTGCCTCTGCCTCCCAAAGTGCTAGGATTACGGGCATGAACCTCCGCACACAGCTTTTTAAAAATTTTAAAGATATGGGGTACAATTCAGGGTTAGGTACATAAGTGGTCCTCACTGGTTCTCATTTCTCCTGACTTGGGATCAGGTACCCTTATTAAAGTTATGTGCCATCCTCTCCCTCCCCTGGCAGTGATTCACTACTGCCAATTTCTTTCATGCAGTATTATGATAAATGTTCAGGGTCCACCATTTATGAGTGAGAATATGTGGCACTCAGTTCTTTGTTTCTGTGATAGTTCCCTGCGTATGATAGACTC